AACAACAGATAGTCCGTCCAGATCCGAGGCATCTGTTCCCACGAGAGAGAGAGAGTAATGAGAAACAAAAACGACAAATGAACTGTACCTTGTGCATTGTGACGAGAGCACGTTCGTGTGCGTTATTTGTTTCTTCGTGTAACAGACTGCCGGGGCACATGCGTCTTGCGTGAATTCGTCGTAGTCGTAAATAACGATACCACAATTTGTAGCTGAAAGATTATGAGAGGAGGAATCGGATCTCTACGCAAAACAACGTGTGATTCATTACCTGCCGGGAAGTTGTTTCAAGGCTCGTTCATAGAGCATGTATAGGACTTTGGGAGGAGATTTGGACTTCATATCAATGTACCGAAGCCATGATTTTACATTATGCGGATTGCGGAGTATATCTTCTTCATACGGTCGGTCCTGTTCTTCCTTAGGTAAGCGAAGAATGTGGTGAATACTGATTCGATGCAACTTACAATCACTATCAAATCCTCCTCTTCATCCATCAGTTCTGTAGACATAGTGTGCTGAAAGTGAAAGTGAAAATAGATCAACACCCCAAAAAGGTAACAGCCTGAAAAATGGTATCACTTGTGCGATTAGTAGTCTCAAATGAGTACGATAACAAATATGTGCCTAAAAAGATTTGTAGAAAAATTTCACGTTTGCTGTTTTTTGGAAAACTAACTCAACGAGTTTTATCGAAGACCTTCAGAAGATTTGTTGAGCAACAAGTAGGGTGTGTGAACTACTGTCAAAAGCCCGATCGAATAGATCGTGCCATCACGAGACTACACCTTGACGTGGTGAGATGGCTTGTGCACGTCTGTGACCCAACGAGCTACACAGGATGGCTTTATAAAGCCAGGAGATCTTAGCATGCTCGGAAGGTCAATCAGTTTTCAGTTTGTTTTTACAACCATTACCATGCACTTTCGTGTGCCGGTTTTAGTTGCTGTCTTTTGGTTTCCCATTTGGATGAAAGAGCGAAATGAAGATAGGAATGGCGAAGGAAATTCAAGCGGAAGATGGGGAATATATATAGAGTGTGTTAGTAAAATGACGAGCGGATGCACGAGCGCCACAATTTGCGACACCCAGCCATATCACTCAGTGTAGCTAACCATCGGTGACCATCATCCCGAGGTCCCCAGCCACCCTGCCATATCACTCAGTGTAGCTAACCAACGGTGACCATCATCCCGAGATCCCCAGCCAGGGAGCCGAACGGGGCCTATGTGACCTAGTCTCTTGGTTAGGGTTTTCCTACACACATGCCAGGTCTTGGCTTGACCGTCCTTCGTTTTTTTCCAATCGCTACCAGCTTTGGCAAACATCGTTCGCCGTGGCAACCTATCTGGTGACAAGCGTAGCACAAGGTCAATGGGCAAAGGTCAGACGAAATTCAGTCTCCCGGTCCTCCAGGTTGGGGGTTCGCCTGNAAGTAAATGGGCCTCCACTTCGCCTCACCCGCTGCCTTGCGGTAAGGTTCTTGTTAGAACTCAAGGATTTGGACGAGAACCCTAATCGTTCTCCTGCTTAGTGGCTGGACACCCTATCCGTCCACCAAACCCCGATGCATACATAAAATAAAAATAATTTCATACTGCATCGGTCGTTGCGCAGGATAACCAGGACCGCGCTGCCCATTGCATCGAGCGGGGGGTAGTGATAAGTGGGCTACTGCTCAGATATCTCAGCCTTTGTTTAACTCTT